TAATGACTTTCTCAGTCCATCCCAGAAGTCTGGGATCTCAGGAATGGAAGCGCTAGGCATCTTCTTAGGGGTAGATCAGCTTAAGTCTGCCAGGCTGCACTTCAGTCCTTGTAGGGCTTCCAATGGCAATTGGCAATGACTCAAATCTGAATGTTCGCACTATGTTAGGGCAAAGTATTTTCACTTTTTCTGAGGTTTGGAGCAGATTACTCAGGATCTACCTTTCCAGTTAGATACTCAAATATTCACGTTACCCTGGACTCTGGAGTCAGAACAGTTTATTTGCATGCGATGAACTTGTAGGTTTCCTTAAAAGAGACTGTCTTATTTTCTTCTTTTCACTTTCAGGTGTATATCCTCGGAAATGTAAATGGACCCCTGGAAAAGGGAAGTGTAACTCTCCTTCTATTCGCTATTTTTTCAGCCCAGCACACGCTATATGTATAATGTTCACTTATACTGGATGTGGAGGGAATGACAATAACTTCTTAACTTTGCACGAATGCATAAAACAATGCAAAAGATTTGGTAAGAAAGAAATTGAAATCTTTTTTTGGCATATATTAAAAAATCATTAATAGCAAAGCTATAGCAAATATATTTTCCCTAAAACCTACAGCTACTGTTTTTCGTAGATCAACAAGAAGCAACAGATTCAGAGCAATGTATTTGGGAACTGGAAAAAAAACAATATATGAATTTTCCAACCTTAAGCAGACGCCACAAATACTTAGACCTGGTTGAAGAGAAGGTACATGCAAACTCTTTGGAAGAGGAGGAAAGAGAATGGCCTACCCACCCCTCCATCTTCATGTGCCCCTCCTCCCAGTGTTGAATTCCCAGTTCCAGAAGCGCTTTCTCCGTCTTTCTGCTGGAATACAAGCCCCAACTTTCAAGCAAACGGGACAAAAGCTCACCCTGATTACTTTCTTAGTCGATCCCAGAAATCTGGGATCTCAGGAATGGGGGTTTGATGCCTCTTCTTAGGGTACAGCAACTTGTGTCTGCAATTCAGTTCTTTGAGGACTTCTAATGGCAACTAGCAATGACTCAAATTGGAGTGTTCTCACTATGTTAGGGCTGGCAACTTGTTTTCACTTTTTCTGAAGTTGGAGCAGATCTACTTTTCCAGTAAATGCTCAAATATTCACATTGCCCTGCACTCTGGAGTCAGAACACAATATATATTCATGCAATGATCTTCAGGGTTTCTTTAAGTGGGACAGTCTGTCTTATTTTCTTCTTTTCACTTTCAGGTGACCCTCAAAAGGAATGTTTTCATCCTGTAGAAGTAGGACGGTGCAAAGCTTCATTTCATCGTTTTTATTTTAACACAAGAACTAAGAACTGTGAGGAATTCATTTATGGTGGATGTGGAGGAAATGAAAACAACTTTGTAAATTGGATCACATGCAGAGCTATGTGTCAAAATTCAGGTAAGGAAGACATTTTAATCTTTGCCTTTGCAACCAATTAAAACAAATGGCATTTTAATCTGGTCTGGCAATCATTGATCTGAAAGCTCTTGAGTCCCAAATTTACCTTGATCTCAGTTCTGCAATCCAGGCCCTGAACTAGGGAGAAGAGCTTATAAGTGGGCACAATC